CCAACCAAGTTAATTTCTCTCCCTACCTACGCCGCTCTTAAACTTTCGTACAGACAAGAAAAGCTACAGAAAAGAAAAACAAAATTTTTCAGGGTGTGCTGAGCCCACTCGTGGTACCGCCGCTAATAGAGACCTGCGGTTTTCCCTGTTTAATAACCAAGACTAGAGCGGAACTTTTCAAAGAATGAGGAAACAGAGGGTAGTACTGTTCGATAAACAGATATTTGTGAGTGGTATCGTAGGAATCAATATACTGCGTCTAATTGAAGATCTTCTATTAAATGCCACGCCACTAGTGAAACCGAAAGAGAAACTGACTGTGCTACATCTAACAGACAAACATTCAAACCTTTCTGATGGCCGCCAAAGTGTCTTTAGAGAATCTCCAGAAAACTCTTTTATTATTATTTGCATTTAAAACTGAAAAAAATTTCATAGTTAATCAGCTATTGGATATTTCATAATGAATGAGCTGGACCGACGATAAGTTATATAAAAAACTTTTCTTTTCTACTATCAAATAAGTATAATTCATATTAGGTTAATATAATAACTATCCCCTACTTATTAGCCTCATAAAACAGGGATGATTCGTTTAACAGCGTATCATAGTTTATATCGACTTTATCTCAACAGTTCGAGACTAACAGGACTAGAATAAGTTAGACTCCTGGTGAAAAAAGCTCCAAAATATTTAGCACGTTCTCAGGAAATATTTGATTGAGTTTCAGCGTCAACACTGACATAAGAAAAGTTAAAGAAAGTCAATAGCATAGCAATTTCTTTTAAATGGATAAAGATTAGTCTTCAATAAGAAATGAGCGGGCGAATTATTTGTTTTGTTAAACAGCTTAGTTTTTAATATTACCTTGTATAGCCGACATGAGTTAGAAAGTGTCAAGTTTGTTAACACTAAATATGAGTAATATTTAGTTTGACTCATTTCACATTGAAGACTGATCTTTTTCCATTTAAAAGAAATTACTATGCTATTGACTCTCTTTAACTTTTCGTAAGTTAGTGTTGACGCTGAAGTTCATTCCAATATTCTTTTCTACCTTACAATCAATCATACATCATCAATAAATCATTATCACAGTTTACATCGACTTTATCTCAACAGTTCAAAATTAGCAGGACTACTATCCATCCCAAAATGCGGCGCGGGTAGGTAATTTTTGAATAACTTCTGATAGAAATGAGATAGAGACCTGCGCTTTTCGCTGTTCAATAGCCAAGACTTGAGCAGAACTTTTCACAAGCGGTAGCAACTTTTGAAAAAATTTCAAAGCTCGTGTTTCCAGAGGATCTTTGGAAAACTAGCTCCGTTCTCAGAAAACTAACATACACTGTTAGTAATTTTTTGCATGCGTACATATTCCGGACGTTACTCTACAAAATTATGCAAGTCTCGACTCTTCGGCTATCGTCGTTCGGACAGGACACGCTTTCCTCGAGCGCGTGTCTATCTCCGAGCAGACATCTCTGGGAATCTCAAACTGCCACGGAGTATAGGTAAGACTACACTGAGCATAGTGGCAGTATTTGCTTTTGTGTAGAAATGAAAATAACTTCGCCACAGGTACTTTTGTGAAAAACCGTTTTTTCGCCTGTTACTGGCAAAAATTAAAATCCTTATATCTCGACCAAATCCCATGCTGGCTCAAGAACCTTTTAGGAAAGACTTAAAAGGTGCCATATATTGTTGATCACGCCGAAAAAGTGATCCAGCAGAACACTGTTGGTTTGAGGTTATTCAGAAGGTTTCTGGAAAACCTTACACTCTTGATTCAACATGGGAATGAGATACAATTCAACATTACACCACTTATTTCAATATTGATTGTTCAACAAAAGTGGCTTGCAACACATTATATTCAAATTTACGCGAATATCCACAAATATTGTTCAGCTTCTATTTCCAATATACCACACTTCAACATGATAAACGTGATATTGATATTACAATAACTAATCATCACTTCTTAAATACAACATTATATGCAAAGCTAAAACAAATGAATACTGAGTCGAGTATTCGATATTTATGGAAGGATACAATGGATGAACTATATTGCAATTTCTCAACTTGACTAATAGTTATGCATCAACAGAAGCTGATAGAGAAAAAATGAAAGAAGATATTGTTAGAAAAAATTTCAATTAAAACTGAAGTATCATCGGAATACAGTACTATATGGAATTCTGTTTATTGGTAGCCATCATACAAACATCGTTCGGATCGATTAGTTAAGAAATTGAATGAAAAAGCTCTAGTATCAAATTCTCATAGTCCTACGTCTATCTATCGGATACCAACTAGTTTTGATGTCGTTTATAATCGTAGAAATGCTTTTACAAGTAGACTTAGGCAGTGTGGAGACATATCCCGATTGGGATATCATTTTTTGCAGCAAAATTCGGGATATAGTTTGAAATTATATCCCGATTGGGATATCAAGAATTTTAATTTTTAATTTGTTAGAAAATGATAAGTTTTAATTAAATGAGAGCTGAATATTCTTCTCCTTCTTCTTTATTCCCCGTCTCTAATGTTCCTAGTAGTGTCTTTTGTTTTCTCCAGCTGATCGAAGAGACACATATATCTTTTTAACAGACGTAAATAGATTTCTTCTATTAGACATCTTTCATATGTGAATATAATATAAATATAATAGAAGATAGAAGACAAAGTCGTTACCACGCACAATTTCATCTACCATACATTTGTAACGTTCTTTTCTTCTTCGTCTTTTTATAACTATTAATAATTCACTTGATTCAATTATGCCTCCCAAAACATGAATGTAAAAACATCATACGGGTCTAATCGTTACAAAATTTAAGTCTGATAAATTGAAGCGGGCTCAAAGAACATAAGGCAATTTATCTGCAAGAACGGATAGTTAGAAAACTTCCCGATCTCGCACAAAGCACGTATATTTATATATTGTCGACGCATGAGACAAGAATTGTGTTTCAGTACATGTGGGCATTGAAAAGGAAGATCCAATGTAGTTTTTCGAAGAGCTCTTTCGAATGGTGACGTCAGTTTTACCCCAAAATCTCGTTATTTTCTCCTTAATCGTTTTTACGACGAAATTTCATGTTTTATATCCCGATCGGGGGTACTACGGGATACTACTTTTTTTCTATATCCTGATCGGGATATATATCCCGATCAGGATATAGGAGGTGTCTCCTTACTGTTAGGCGATCATCGGACATTTCTGACTTGAATAATAGTATAGATTCGAATTCGACCACATCGAAAGAGGATTCATCGCCAACAGCGAATGACTCAGATCGAAATGACGTAGACCATGAGTTTGTGGATGCCGAAGATGGAAAATATAGTCTGAAACCACTTATTTTATATAAAATCAACCTTGATCACTTTCAAAATACGACACATATCATCTACATAAAAATTATTAAACGATTTGATCAATTAGTCCAGTCGATTCCTATACATTTTGCTGATGACGCTAACTTTTAAAAAGAAATTATTCATTTGTAGTTCCGCAGATAGATTTGTACATGTTCTTGGTAAAAAGCCAAAGTACTTTGCTTGCTTGATGAAGCCGATGTCTGTCTGTTTTTCAGGAGTAAATTTATCTGTAAGCCTTGTCACACTTACTTGATAAGCACTTGTTAAGTACAACTGAAGTTGATAGTTTTAGTTTAGAGTGCTATAATGGAATACATTCCGCTTGTATTCCGACAGAATAAAGTTGATATCAAGTACAACTGCAAGCGCTTTAACAACATACTTCCTAGCAATAAAACTAAGTATAGCAAAGGACGGGTGCTCACAAGACCGAGAATCGACCCATTCGGATTGTTCTGTCTGAAATTGTTGATCTGAATAGAAAAATCATATTTAAATTATTTTCTATCATTTTTCAGCGAAAAAAAGTAAAAACAGACGCTAAAAAATTCTTTTTCTTTCATTATTATACTATCATACGCTATTTCACTGGTAAGTTGCCTATAACATTTCATTCAAGGTGTTTATATAATTCATTCTACCACTGATGGATAGAGAATGAAAAACTGAGCAACTGTATAGCAGCTAAGTGCGATACATTCAAAATCATTTAAAATCGATCTTATACTTCAATTGGCTATGGTGAACATAATTTGATCGAAAACAAATCCAGACCAAGTTATAAGCAAAATACTGAGATCCTCATTTATTCTAGCACACCCGGTAGAATTCTACGTTCAATAAAACTGTTAAGTCATAGATTACTCATATAATTTCTTTGTCATGGAAGTATTATGAATTGTGGGGAAGTAACAGAAAATTCTTTTTGAGATCGAATAAATCTGACAGAGTAAAACAATGCAGAAGATATTGTTCTTAAATTTATGTTATCAGCAAAAAACATAGAGTGGTCTTTTTTGATATGAGGTAGCAAAAAGTTTCTACTATATTTATTATTTTATTATGGTCGATCTTTTTGGTGTTCTTTATATCTTTTCGTATTATTTTCAGCGATGACAATACCGATCATGTGCTGCTCTTGCTCGACTATGCGGTATGAGAAAACTGTGCATCTGGCAAAAACTCAAAAAAATAAGTGGCATTTAGTAATTATGGGAATAAAAGTACGTAGAAGTATATGGTTTCAAGAAATAAAAAATCGAGCCAAATCACTATATATAGTGACTATGTGAGCTGACTATAGTCAACTCACATAGTCAAATCAAGATTGATAAAGCGTTTGACTAGGCATAAATATGTTGCACAGGCTAAGGTATAATACGTGAATGGTATTTTTTTACTTCTACGTATTCCGAAGTTTGTTTAAGTGATAGGTAGGACAATATTGAAGATTTTCTCTAATTTTAGCTTCACTTTTCTTGAGCGTTTATTCATCCTTTTATCAATCAATTGTTGGCTTGTAAATTCTTTCATTGTGTCCTCAGTATCGACCTCGGCAAAATGGAGGCCAGTTGTTTTAATGCACGGAATTCTATCAAATGCGGAAGATATGAATGAATTAGCGGGATGGATTAATGAAACATATCCAGGAATCTATGTACGCAATATCGAAATTGGTAACGGATATGAAGATTCCCTTTTCATGCCAATGAATAAGCAAGTTGAATTATTTTGTCAACAAATATTTTCTGACGAAAATTTGAAAGATGGATTCAGTTTGTTAGGATTTTCACAAGGAAGCTTGATAACACGAGCTGCAGTTCAACGATGTTCATTTCCAAATGCGTACAATCTCATTACTCTTAGTGGTATTCATGGCGGTGAATTTGGTATTCCCTATATAGAGCTTCTACCACCAAAACTTCGTGAATTTGCTACTAAGTATATGTATACAGATTATGTACAGAAACTCATTAGTTTTGCTGGTTATTGGCGCGATCCGTATCAGTTAGATAAATATTATACTGAATCTCAATTTCTGTCCGTTATCAACAATGAAGGAAAGACGAGAAATGAAACTTATCGGCAAAATTTACTAAAATTAAATGCATTTGTGATGACTTATTCTGATATCGATGAAATAATCTCGCCACTAGAATCGGGCTGGTTCATGTCCTATGGTCCAAATTCATTAAAAGTTCAACTCTGGAACGACTCGCGCGAATTTCAAGAAGATTTAGTGGGCATGCGCACTCATCTTGACCAAGGACGATTACACACTTATATATCTCATTGTAAGCATCAGGACAATCCTCATAAGCCAAATAAAGAATTTCTTTTTAAAAATATTATGCAATATTTTAATAATACTTTGTAAATAATTCTGATTTTATTTAATTCCTCAATTTATGTTTCAATATTATAAAATATTATAATCAAATAATACAGTTTTTGTTTTGTTCGATACTGCATATAATTTCTACACAACGTAACTTTTCCTTATGAAGGACGATTATAAGAGTGGATTAATGAAGCGAAATCCTGTGTTCGTTAAGCTGCTACGCTAGACAAACATTTTTTGTTATTTCTGGTAAGAATCTTATCCGAGTCTTATCGGATTCTTACATAAGGAGTCCGCACGAAAATGGCAAGAATTTCGTACTAATCCGATAAGAATCAGGTAAGATTTAAATAAGAATGAGCTATGACTATGATCTATCGTTTTCTTATCACTTCTTTATGGAATTCTTAGTAAAAGGCAGCCGCCGTTTTATTTTGCAGAAGCACATACTATATAAGTACCTGCTAGAGCATACTGTTAGGAAGTGAATACGTTCACTCCCTAAGTTGAAGGTCATTCTGTTCTAACTGTTTCATCATGTATTTCGTTTATCTCTTTTCGCTCCCTTTTTATGTGTCGTCATAAGATGTACATAAGGCAAAGATCGAGCAGAATTTAGTTTTCCATATTTTACACACCATTCGATAGAGAATCGCGCGCTGATCACGAATATGTATTCCCGGCCTCTCAAAACTGTTTCCTCGCTGACCGAATCAAGGTCTGGAAATTTCGGTCATTAACTTTCAGTTCCACTTATGGCTTTGGACGCACTTGGTTATAAGAGAAAACGTATGTTTTCTGCAGGACAATAAAAGAAATCGACTTCATGGCTCAAAGATTCTTTTTGTTTGTCTCCAAAACGACTCCTGATGTACTGCAGACTGATGCGCCTAGAAAAACGAACTATGTGCTACGATTGTTCGTTGTTTGTTCAACGTTTCGTTCTTGCATTGTAAAACAAAATACTCTATCGGATTGCGTTTTCAACATTGTACAGCATAGTCTCTTGTCTATTTGCCCAAATTTCCGATTGGTGTCGATATAAGTTCTGTGGTGGAAACTTTACAGTGGAAAAGTTTGGAAAAAAAGTTTAGCTTTTATATACTAGCAGTACCAAATTCTGCGTGATACAACCGAAGGAATTTTTGAAATTCGTAAAACTCGATCTTTCAAGTGCAGAATACTGGTTTTTAAAGTTTCAAGTTTCGTGAAATTTCATTTAAAAATTGAGTTTTACGAATTTCAAAAATTGCTCGGTTGTTACACGCAGAATTTGAAGCTGAACAATTTTTATTCCCACACTTTTGTTCTATAATGCTTTCCTAAAGCGAAACGCTGTTCAAGGTCCTGGACGACTTTGCGCGCCGAGTCTCTAACAGCCAACCATGAAAATGTGTACTTTTTTCGACTATTGACACTTCCATTCGATTCCGCATGTGAAAGTACCTATGCTCGATGAGCTTCAAATTCTCTGAACTCTTTATTTTGGTTCAGCAGAAAAGAGAAAGCATCGTCAAATTTGAGCCCCTTTTCTCTGCAGTGGAACCGGAATCAACTCACAGTTGAAGATACTCTACATTCAAGCGTGACTAATTTAGCAATAAAATAAGAAAGGAGTTTCAAGTAGGTAGGCAGTGTCGCTATTAATTGACTTTGATTCCCTTTTGCTGGTTTTTGTTTGGCGCTCTTCGAAATCTATATGGTATGGAACCAATTGAAGTTTCAGCTATTGGCTTAAAAACTCCTAGTTCTACGAAAACTTTATAGTGATTCAAACAGCCCAAACTGTGGACTTTAATTTCGTAATCAAGCGATTATTTCAAAATCAATCTGAGGCGGAGTAATTTACATTTTATTAGAACATCCAGACAAAACACTCAGTTCTTTGAAATTTCTTAATGACCTCTGTTTTTACTATACATTTTTGTCAGCTTAATCAATCAAGTTCAAAGTTTTTTGGTAGTAGACTAGTTAATACTCGCCCGATATAAATTTCATCCGTAAGCATTGAATTCATCTGACAAACTGCTTGGGTACCAGCACTCAAATCAGTCAGTGTTACTGCAGATGCGATTCGATAGGGCTATATGCTGCTGACAATCATTGGGCACGATATTAAATTTTTTATAAACATTAGGCTACATTGGGATAACAGGTAAGCTGCTGGGCGAATAGAGATAAGCATATGACACAATATACATGTTGATTTAAGGTATCGAAATTTTAATCATAATGATTTAAAAATAAATGTCGGGACGACTCTTCTTGCAATCTTAATGTTAGTTACTCAAATAATGATGATGCAAAGCAAATGAAGGCGGACGCATTTGACTATCAATGTTCCTATTCGGACTTTTTCTAAAATTCGCTAGATGGTATGCCAACAAAAGGTAAAAATATGAGTGCAAAAATATAAATCTTTGTAAAAATAGAGATTGGCTGTATAGCATAGCATAGTCAACACTATATTTCTCGTTGATAATCGTAATTTTAGTCTTATGTAACGCTTAGTTCACTCACTAATTAACTGTACATTTGTCCTTTAACCCTACGCAGGCCCTCATGTTCTTTTAGTACTTTTGCTCTTTTTTTGTAGCTCAAGTTATATCATTTTGTCTGTACCTTCTGAACAATTAGTGCTTGTATCGTTATTTTAGTTTACACTGGCATAATTTATTATGATGTCGATATATATCAGGCATTTTCTTTTCTACATCTACATGTGTTCTTATCATTTGATGCAAAATTTTTTCTTTCTTCAGTATAAAACAACATAACATTAACTTCATATGCTTTTAAGCGATAAAGCAAAATAACGCACAGATAAAACATAAGCATTATATAAACGTTAAAAAGT